ACCAGGTCTTGTGGAGTACAACTACCTAAATACGTCGTATAATGCCTTTTGTTTTTCCAGGGAGAGGCATCAGGCTACATAAGCCACATTCGCCAAAACTAGCATGACCCAGCAGAACGCGTGACTGAACTGTGGAAACGAGAATTATTGTCACTACTTTCCAGACCTTTAAATTCGGCTTCCTGAACAAAATTGTATTATCTCAAAGATACCTGGTCCCATTCCTCCAATACAAGTGCATTATTTTCAAATGCCGGGCTTTTTTTTAGTACAAATGACCAGACAAATGTAAAACTTGGCAATGTAAACGTTTTTGGCCAACGATGGTGATATAGTGGTGTGCAAAGGAAAGATAAAACATGTTGAGTTTTTTATCATTCTCCATTAGGGTACGAGAGGTCCCGGGCTCAAATCCAGGACGAACCTGAGAAAAGTAGAGAGCAATTCAGATTTTAAAGTTTGGGCAGAATTAACTTAATGTGTATTCTTCTGATATCTTCCTTTATCCAAGGATCTGAAGGAAAGGGAAAGACATGGAAGAAAATGCAGGGGATGTAGCTCAGTGGTAGAGCGCATGCTTTGCATGTATGAGGCCCCGGGTTCAATCCCCGGCATCTCCAACTAATGTTATGGTCGCAGTCAAGGATGTCTCTGTTGTACGGGTTAATGTGTAAAAAGTATTGAAAAGGAGCACATAAAAGCATGCATCATGTATCAGCATGCATCATGTATCACAAGGGCAAGGTAAAAAAGCCAAAGCTTAATTCCATTTGTAAGATCGGTTGACTTGTTCTTCTCAGGTTTCGAGAAAGTCCCGAGTATTTGGGAAATTGCTTAGAAATCAGTTTTTTGTGTTGTCGTGGCCGAGTGGTTAAGGCGATGGACTAGAAATCCATTGGGGTCTCCCCGCGCAGGTTCGAATCCTGCCGACAACGTCAGATCATTTAATGCATGTGTACAATTACCTGCAGGGGGATTTCAGGTGTTGTAGAAAAAAAGGCAATCAAAGACACAATTTCAAACCAATTAAAAAAAAGTTGTTATCTCAACATAAAAGAGAACTCCCAAATGTACACATTGGCTTTTACCAGGTCTTGTGGAGTACAACTACCTAAATACGTCGTATAATGCCTTTTGTTTTTCCAGGGAGAGGCATCAGGCTACATAAGCCACATTCGCCAAAACTAGCATGACCCAGCAGAACGCGTGACTGAACTGTGGAAACGAGAATTATTGTCACTACTTTCCAGACCTTTAAATTCGGCTTCCTGAACAAAATTGTATTATCTCAAAGATACCTGGTCCCATTCCTCCAATACAAGTGCATTATTTTCAAATGCCGGGCTTTTTTTTAGTACAAATGACCAGACAAATGTAAAACTTGGCAATGTAAACGTTTTTGGCCAACGATGGTGATATAGTGGTGTGCAAAGGAAAGATAAAACATGTTGAGTTTTTTATCATTCTCCATTAGGGTACGAGAGGTCCCGGGCTCAAATCCAGGACGAACCTGAGAAAAGTAGAGAGCAATTCAGATTTTAAAGTTTGGGCAGAATTAACTTAATGTGTATTCTTCTGATATCTTCCTTTATCCAAGGATCTGAAGGAAAGGGAAAGACATGGAAGAAAATGCAGGGGATGTAGCTCAGTGGTAGAGCGCATGCTTTGCATGTATGAGGCCCCGGGTTCAATCCCCGGCATCTCCAACTAATGTTATGGTCGCAGTCAAGGATGTCTCTGTTGTACGGGTTAATGTGTAAAAAGTATTGAAAAGGAGCACATAAAAGCATGCATCATGTATCAGCATGCATCATGTATCACAAGGGCAAGGTAAAAAAGCCAAAGCTTAATTCCATTTGTAAGATCGGTTGACTTGTTCTTGTCAGGTTTCGAGAAAGTCCAGAGTATTTGCGAAATTGCTTAGAAATCAGTTTTTTGTGTTGTCGTGGCCGAGTGGTTAAGGCGATGGACTAGAAATCCATTGGGGTCTCCCCGCGCAGGTTCGAATCCTGCCGACAACGTCAGATCATTTAATGCATGTGTACAATTACCTGCAGGGGGATTTCAGGTGTTGTAGAAAAAAAGGCAATCTAAGACACTATTTCAAACCAATTAAAAAAAAGTTGTTATCTCAACATAAAAGAGAACTCCCAAATGTACACATTGGCTTTTACCAGGTCTTGTGGAGTACAACTACCTAAATACGTCGTATAATGCCTTTTGTTTTTCCAGGGAGAGGCATCAGGCTACATAAGCCACATTCGCCAAAACTAGCATGACCCAGCAGAACGCGTGACTGAACTGTGGAAACGAGAATTATTGTCACTACTTTCCAGACCTTTAAATTCGGCTTCCTGAACAAAATTGTATTATCTCAAAGATGCCTGGTCCCATTCCTCCAATACAAGTGCATTATTTTCAAATGCCGGGCTTTTTTTTAGTACAAATGACCAGACAAATGTAAAACTTGGCAATGTAAACGTTTTTGGCCAACGATGGTGATATAGTGGTGTGCAAAGGAAAGATAAAACATGTTGAGTTTTTTATCATTCTCCATTAGGGTACGAGAGGTCCCGGGCTCAAATCCAGGACGAACCTGAGAAAAGTAGAGAGCAATTCAGATTTTAAAGTTTGGGCAGAATTAACTTAATGTGTATTCTTCTGATATCTTCCTTTATCCAAGGATCTGAAGGAAAGGGAAAGACATGGAAGAAAATGCAGGGGATGTAGCTCAGTGGTAGAGCGCATGCTTTGCATGTATGAGGCCCCGGGTTCAATCCCCGGCATCTCCAACTAATGTTATGGTCGCAGTCAAGGATGTCTCTGTTGTACGGGTTAATGTGTAAAAAGTATTGAAAAGGAGCACATAAAAGCATGCATCATGCATCAGCATGCATCATGTATCACAAGGGCAAGGTAAAAAAGCCAAAGCTTAATTCCATTTGTAAGATCGGTTGACTTGTTCTTGTCAGGTTTCGAGAAAGTCCAGAGTATTTGCGAAATTGCTTAGAAATCAGTTTTTTGTGTTGTCGTGGCCGAGTGGTTAAGGCGATGGAATAGAAATCCATTGGGGTCTCCCCGCGCAGGTTCGAATCCTGCCGACAACGTCAGATCATTTAATGCATGTGTACAATTACCTGCAGGGGGATTTCAGGTGTTGTAGAAAGAAAGGCAATCTAAGACACTATTTCAAACCAATTAAAAAAAAGTTGTTGTCTTAACATAAAAGAGAACTCCCATATGTGATATAGTTGTGTACAAAGGAAAGATAAAACATGTTGTTTTTTTATCATTCTCCATTAGGGTACGAGAGGTCCCGGGCTCAAATCCAGGATGAACCTGAGAAAAGTAGAGAAGAATGCAGATGTTATGTTATGATTCTCTCCACCTGCTGCCCTTGTGTTTCTGCCTGCCCTCTCCAGCTGTCTCTCATCATCGTGGTTAGTTCTGCTTGTATTTAAGGTCTGGTCTTTTGTTAGTCAGATCCTTGTTGTTTCTTAGGAAATGTCTGTTCTGTTTTGCCCTGGATTACCTGCTACTAAATTCGTTTCTGTACATCGTTTCCTTCATTTGGGTCCACCCTGCTCTGCTTTCCCATGACAGGCCTGAGCGTGGTTATCTGTCCTGATAGTTGACAATGCTCACACTAAAAAAAAAAACACACTCATGCACAACACTGCACATAGTTGAGAGATCAATTTTTTTTAATGTAAAATTAATATTTAATTTCACAGGTGTATTGGCCATCTGGCAATCATGGCATCTATCCAGTAGGCCGAGGTGTGTTTTAAGCCAACAAACTGACCGGCCCATAAAATATGTAGAATGTTTGTATATATATATATTTACACTGGGTATTCTGCCCTTGCATATGCATCGCACTGCATAGCTTAACAGATAGCGAACAAATACTCAGAAGACAGTTGTTGAGTTGACCATTTACTGAGGCTTGAAATTGTAAAACTGCAAGAATAAACAGAACAATACAACACAAGTTACACAATTGAAATAATACATGTGCAACATAATGCAAATAGAGTGCAGATCTTCTCCAAGGATTAAAACAAAACGATCTGTGGCATACAACTGAGCTACGATGTGCTCTGCATGGCTTTGCTGTGTAAACTAAAACACAAGAAGGAGAGTCGAGCTATTTGGTGCCTTAAAGCTACAGTACCGACCTTTGCCACTAGGGGGTGCCAATACACTATGGTGTCAGAACACTGGGCTTGCACAATCTCATCATTATTCCTCCCAATTGTTTGGCTCTGTTCCTTAACAAAACAGAACATTGGCAAACAAAAAGGAAAAGTAACAAACATTGTTAGTTGAGTTTACTTTATAATGAATTTTACTATGGATCTGTCGGACTAAAGGATGACTCTCACTAAGGTCTTTAAAGAAACATATCCTTTAACTGAAGAGCACATTTTAGGGTATTCAAAGACACTTTCAAGGGTTAACTTAATGACTTCAAATATAGAAAACAAAACATTAACCACAGATTCAAAGCCGTTCTGAAGAGGCAAGGTTTGATTTGTTATTGTGTATGCATCGCACTGCATAGACAGAATTGAGACAGATTGGTTCAGTTGCAGATGTGTTTTGGGGAAGGCGTTCTGGAGAGAGCTATGGAGAAGGTTCTGTCCCCGCACCCCGGTCTGCTGCTTGGTTCAAATGGGAGGTTGCTGTTGAAAATGACTCTAAAGTTTGCAAATGTGAATGGAGACAGAGTGGACTGGTTTGAGTTAGGGATTTGGGACCAATGATGAGCGTGGTGAGAGCAGAACGAACGTATTCTATCTACTCTCAAGACCTTACGTAAACAAAATCATTCTCATGACCCTGTGAGACAGAGCTTCCCACGCTTTTAATCCCGGAATCAAATTGAGGACATCTATTTACTTGTTGCTCAGAACGAGCAACAAGTAAATAGATGTCCTCATCATAGCACCATAGTCACATTCTTAACCCACAATATTTTTCAACCTCACAGTTGATCCAGTGTGGGACCCAAGCCAGCCGAAGATGGCAGGTTTAAAAGTGCCCTGCTGCAGCGGACCATTGCTTCAATCAAAGTCTCCCAGGAACTCCTCATTAAGTAACCATTAACGAATGATTCATTAATACAGTAGCCTACCCCCAGTCTGTTTACCAGTAACTAACCATCAGTTCCTCAATCGCAGTCCCTGAGGAACTACTCATTAACTAACCATTAACTATCTAGTAGTTCCTCAGTAACTAAGCAGTAACTAAGCACATTTTGTGTACCTTATTGTAAAGTGTTACCAAAAAAGTTGTGGCAATATTTCAGTAGGCTACCATTCCTTTTGGACACACATATTTCTACATGTTTGGCTTTTCATGGCATGTGTTGATTTATTTTCTACTCGTCGTCCTCAGTGGTGAAGAGGAAGGCATGGAGTTCTTCCTCTGCAGGTAGGTTGTCCTCCTCACTGACTCTGATCTTCTGCTCAACAGGGAAGCACCTGGGCATGAGCTTTCTTCTAGCCTGGAGAAAAAAGGATAAAGTTCAAACTGTTCAAAATGTATTTTTTAAAGTAACATTAACTTTTTGTTGCTGTAATGTACTCAAGCTGATTTTTCCCAAATCGTACCTGATGCCAAGTTTTATACATGTATTATATTATTTTTATTGTTTTATTAATTAATTTATTTTATAGGTTTTTATATTTTATCGTATTTATTGGTTTTGACTTCCTTTATTTTACCGAGGGATCATATTGATGAAATGATTATTTATTTTGTATTAATATACCTTTTACCTCGTGTGTCCCTTAAAGTGTTGAACTATGATATCATGTTGCTATGCGGCATATGTGCTAAAAGGCTCTAACGTCTGGCCTGATGTGAAATTCTCTTTCTCTGCTTTAAATTGTGATGTGTGCCTTGTGTTTAAAGCACTTTGAGCTGCGCCTGGTGTATGAGAAGTACTATAGAAATAAATCTTATAGTGGAGGATGATACTGATTAATTGCATTAAATTAAAATGTGTGGTATAATGTTTCCAATATGGCATTATTCCTGTTGGAGAGAAGACTCACTTTTTTCTTGCTTCCATCCATAGATCTTAGCTTGCACTTCTTCAGCATTTCTAAGTGCTTCTCCTTCTCCAGTCTCAGCTGCTCCTCACGCAGCCTGGAACATGCAGTACAAGAGAAGAAGGTTTAACCTAACAGAGCTCATCACACAACCGCACCTCTCTACACGTTGTTAATAAACCATTTACTTTAGTGACTGGCCTGCAACATATGACACTAAAAAAAGCTCATTTGCAAAGTCTTCCCATTTTTTTCTGCACTTTCTGTTATTAGTCTAGTTGCCACATCATAGAGTCCTATTGTGAACCCATAAATATTGAGTACCACAACGTTTTCTGTAAGAAATGTATAGTACGGGTCCCCAGCACATACAAACTGCCGGATGCTAACTTTAGTACAGACACTAGTTAAAAAATGGGCAGATTTGGACAATTTCTGAGTGGTTTTGGGGGTTATTGAGGAGTCCATTTATGACATTTTCAGGATCAAAAATGGCAGTTTTAACCAGAAAATGCCAATCTTTGTACTCTCTGTGGGCTGATTTGATTAATTTTGGGTGGGTTTAGAAGATTTAGGGGACTCTGGATCATTTGGATAGGACAGATTGCATATTTTGAAGATAAATTGTCTGCAGTAGGGATCATAACCAGCCTGTCACAGAGAGTACAAATATTGCCACCTTCTGGTTAAAACTGCTATTTTTGATCCTGACAATGTCAGAAATGTCCAGGTTCACATTGCTGGCAACTACACTAATCATATCAACTGCAGTGAATAAAAACACACCATTTTAAAAGGTTTAAAGTCATATCATTTCCATTTACAACATATGTGAATACTCTAGTGCAAATAGTAAAACACTCAGAAAAGGAAACAAAGGATTATGTACATGTTGGGTGAAATATATGACCCCTCATACACTCTCTCATTCAAAGCATAAATACTGTGATCCACAATATATCGATCTAAACACCACTGGGATCCACCTTTAACTCCAGGCTCATAAACACAGACCTGCCCCTCCTATCGTTGTCCTTGATCAGCCTCAGTGTCTTCAGGTTCTCTTTAGGGATGCTCTCCAAGAACTGGAACAGTAAAGATATACGGTATTCAACACTGGTCAGCTTCTCCAAGGTGCTGAGGTAGGTCATACGGGAGTCCACGCAGCAGCGATGCACTTCAGTTATCTTCACACCCAGAGCATCCGACATCGTATCCTGTAGGTAGGGAACAGACAGAAACACATATAAAACATCTCAATGAGATGCTGCAGGCCACACCCCTCTGCAAAGTCTTTTTACATATTTTTACATGTTGATATGGATGGATCAGGACAGAAAGAGAGCGAATCTTTGTTCCTGAAACGTTCTGAGTCTCGTAACACAGAGGGGACACATGTGTATGTATAAAAGACATGAACAAGTGGATTTTGAATAATAGGCGACCTTAAAGTCACAGGAACAATGCAACATAAAACAAAACAAAAACAATAAAAAGTAGTGCAGGGAATAAATAATAAAATAGTGCAAGAGAATGTTGCAAGACTAATGTGCAAGTAATGCAGGAGAAGTTAACTATAAGTCAAATCAAATAAGATGAGCTAAAGATAGAATGTAATATTACATTCTGTACAGTGAAATAAAATACTGTTTATTGTAATAATAGATCAATATTTCAGATGCAAACAGATTGATTGTATGAAGTGGTAGCAGTCTAATGGCCTGTGGGGTGAAACTGTCCCAGAGTCTGCTGGAATGTGTGCTGCGGTGAGATAGGATACCACTTTAGATGATTTCTTGCTTTTTAAATTGTAGGTTAAATCAAATGAAAGTGCATCCTTCAGAGTTCTACTCTGCTGTATCTAACGTACAGTACAATACACTGGGCTTCCTTACGTGGTCCTCTGTTTTTAACGAGTCGTGGAGCTGAACCTTCTTTTTGAGTGTGGCGGCTCTCTCCAGGTCGCTGACGATCCTGTCCTTCATCTCGCCCAGCTGCAGCGTAAGTTTCTTATCATCCTCTTCCCTGCACACACACAGGGGAGAGAGACATTCATCAGTTTATTATCACATGCTGGTCACAGCTTAGTATCTAGCACTTCATGTTTTTCTTTTGAACATTTATTAAAACAAGTTCCTTGACAGCCAGTCTCACACAATATGGTAAAGTGTTGGGAGAATACTGAATGTCCTCTTCCAATATGAGAGTACACATGATAACAAAGGTATCCCAACTGTAGCTGTGAACATGACAGGATGTATGATTACCGAGAAGAGCATCAGGACTGTTTGAGGCATATGATAGCTATGTGATTAACATGATGATTCAGCCTCTATGGAGATAGACATATGACAAGCATGCTCATTTCTGACGTGGAGCTAATCTGAAGTAAACATTGAATACTGCTTTCTATTCCTCCATCTTGGGACTGTGTAACTCCCTCTCTTGGATATCAGCATGTGAAGGACACTGTTCAGGAATTAGTTGATGCTCTGTATGTGATGACTACTTCCATTCTGGAGAGGATCACAAATACATGGATCCTGAGATTGAAGCTCAAGCCGGTGACCAGTGAGATTTTTCAAACATAAAGATGCGAATAATACTGTTTAAAAATAAAAAAGTACAATATAAAATAATATTTCTCAATACAAAAGTATTAGACATACAAAGAGGTTAAGGATTATTAACCTCTCTGTATGTCTTATTTTACTATTCCAAAATGTCCAATGTAATGTCTAAAATATGTTCACTTTGCTATATACCTTATAACAGGCGACCACTCCTCTCAATACATCTCCATCTTGAGTTGTAGCGCCCTTTGAGTTTGTTCCTTCTCAAAAAGACTCTGTGTGTAACCCCCTTTATAATTGCATCACACACATGTGCAGAATTCACAAACATGTCATGGATATAAGATAGGGATGGGAATTTGAAGGCAAATGTATATTAGAATATTCGACGAACGAAATGCTCTGGGGGGGCAAACGGCTCCGTGTTTACGCCTATAGGATCATTTCCTCATAACGTTGAAGCAATAGCCCCGCCTCTCCCCACCTCTCCTGCTCAGAGATCAGCTGCTGGGCTGTCAGAAGAGGGGGAGGAAAAGAGAGGCTCCGTTTTTTATTCTTATATTATTATATAGAGTCGCTCAATAAATAACAAAGAAGACCTTTGACCGGCACTTTTCTAATTTTTTCCGGAAGATTTCAACTTTAACGGACATGCTGACCGGCGAAAAAAAATCTAACTGAAACTCTAACTGCCGCACGGTCCCCTCGTCCCTTGGAAGAGGCGGAGAGGTGGGTGTTTGTCATCTGCTGGTGGACTACCGGAGAGATTTACAGCAGCAGGAGCAAACGCTTGCCTCGGGGAGGGAGAAAAAGAGCCACAGCGTCCACAGCGGAGAATAAACAGAAGGGCAACCATGGCAACCATGCGCGGGAAGTCTTCTTCGCTGCTTTTGCGTCAGGAGTACAGCGCCACTTACAGGCCCGGCATATGTACTACAGCGTCTCCAGCGCTTTCGAGCGGTCTCGTGTGAACGGACACGTTTCTGGTGCCTGTTGCGTGTGGACGGAAGACTTTTTTGATATCGATTTTGGTCCGTTTGCGTTATCGTCCTCGTGTGGCTCCAGCCTTAGTAATAGAGGAGAGGCGATTATTACCTTCGCCCAAACACTTATTTACTGATAAACAAAATCATAACTGTTACTCAGTGTGATTGGCTGCTTCACATCCCTCACAACGGAATAGGAATTATAATTTCTTGATCTTATGAAAAGTTACACTAAGATATTGAACCTTATTATCTGAGCATTGACTGTCATCTCAGTCCTGGGAACACCCGACATGTGTCTCAGAACATGGCGACCCCGGAAGTCCGTATTTGATCTTTTTCAATTGTATTGGTTGGTTTGTGGGTTTTTTATGTTCCCTTAGTCCCGTTTTTTACTTTACATGTTTTTGTATTGTACATGCCTCTTTTTTGTCTTAATAATACCTTTAGTTTGTTGTCTTTTGTTAAAGCTCATTGACTTCAGAAGGAAGAGGATGTTTCAACAGCCCCTGTGCATTCTGGGAGAGGATGTTGTTGTGGTGAAGGACTACAGGTACTTGGGAGTGCACCTGTCTCTTTTTCTATAACCCACAACAATTTGCACAACAGCTGCTTTGCACAGTTGTAATTAATATATAATACTATGCCAATAAGTGTCTGTAGTACATTTCTATATATTTCTGTAGCTTAGGGAGATTGTATATTGTAGACTTTAAAGTATTCAATGTATTCTATATTTTCGTTATATTGTGTATTATTTAAATACTCTAGTGATATATGTCCTTTCTATTGTGAATTTGTATATACTTGCTGCTAGTGTCACTTTTAATTTTATTTGTATCTTATTCTATCTTTTTTACATTTGTAACTTGTCGAATGCATGATAACACTGCTGCTGTGACAACATTATTTCACAATTTGGGATGAATAAAGTATTCATCCACCCACCCGTCCATCCGTCCATCCACCTGGGTCTGCCCGCCCTCCACCCCCCGTCCATACATCCATATATCCATACATCCATCTAGCTAATGCTTTAGCCTCTGCATATTATTTAGGGCTATTCCTTTCTAGAGTCAAACTAACCTCAGGATAAATCATGCTTACATTTTCCTAGAGGTGGTCTCTATGTCCTGCATGAGCTCCTTCAGTGGCTCATCCACCCAGTTTGAGATGCGAGTCAGTGACAAGACCTGATCTGTAAAGTCTGTCACCAGGTCCAGTATCTGGTGGGGTTCAGAGGAGACGACATGTTCCTGCAGGGGGGGGGGGGGGGGTACACTGTGAACATTTGCAAATAAACACTCAAGACACAATGAGGTAGAGCAGCAGGAAAACTGACCTCAGATTGGGAGCTGTCGCCATCCACGTTACCATCCGTGACCCTGCAATGCCAAAGACAGGGTTTGTGCTGGAGACAGATTGAGATGCACCCGAGCCCTGTGAAGTGCCTTCATAACCTAAAGAATTCATCTGTTTGCATCTGACCATTTATTTATTTTATTATATATCACTACAATAAACAATACATTTGATTTGATTTCACTGTACAATATTTAATTTGAATGTCTTTACTTGTCTATCTTATTCTATTTACATGTCTCGTGCATTTACTTGGTTTTTGTTTTGTGTTCTATATAGGAAATAAGTATTTGATCCCTTGCAGACTTTGTAAGTTTGCCCACTTACAGAGAAATTAATATACAAAATATTTGTAAGAATATACAAAAGAAATCGAGAAATTGACATTATATAAAAGATAAAAATGTATTTGCATTTAATTGTGTGAAATAAGTATTTGATCCCCTTGCAACCAACAAGAATTCTGGCTCCCACAGACCGGTTACATAAGTCCTCTTCCTTTAGGAAAGTACTCCTAACATCAACTAGTTACCTGTATAAAAGACACCTGTCCACAGAATCAATCAATCAGATTCCAACCTCTCCACCAGGGGCAAGACTAAAGAGCTGTCTAAGGACCTCAGGGACAGGATTGTAGACCTGCACAAGGCTGGGACTGGCTACAAGACCATCAGAAAACAGCTTGGTGAGAAGGATACAACTGTTGGTGGCATTATTCAGAAATGGAAGAAACACAAAATGAGCATCAGTCGCCCTCGGTCTGGGGCTCCACTCAAGATCTGGCCCCGTGGGGTATTGATGCTCATGAGAAAGCTGAGGGATCAGCCCAGAACTACACAGGAGGAACTTGTTAATGATCTCAAGGCAGCTGGGATCACAGTCACCAAGAAAACTATTGGGAACACACTACACCGTAATGGATCAAATCCTGCAGCGCCTGAAGCCCCCCCCCCCTGCTCAAGAAGAACATGAGAGGCCCGTCTGAAGATTGACAATGAACATCTGAATGATTCAGAGAAGGCTTGGGATGAAGGTGTTGTGGTCAGATGAGACCAACATCGAGATCTTTGGCATCAACTCGACATGCCGTGTTTGGAGGAGGAGATGCTGACTATAACCCCAGAACACCATCCATTAGGCATGGAGGTGGAAACATTATGCTTTGGGGGTGTTTCTCTGCTAAGGGGACAGGAGGACTTCCCTGCATCGAGGAGAGGATGTACGGGGACATGCACCGTAGAATCTTGGCCGATAGCCTCCTTCCCTCAGCCAGGACTCTGAAAATGGGTCATGGAGGGGTCTGACACTGAACATACCGCCAAGGCAACACAGGAGTGGCTAAAGAAGAAGCACATTGAGGTGATGGAGGGGCCTAGCCAGTCTCCTGACCTCAATCCAATAGAAAATCTGTGGAGGGAGCTGAAGCTTCCAGAGGCCAAGCATCAGCCTCAAAACCTGCAGGATTTGGAGAGGATCTTCAGAGAGGAGTGGACCAACATCCTTCCTGAGATGTGCACAAACCTGCAGACCAACTACAAGAAGCGGCTGACCTCTGTGTGTCCAACAAGGGTTTCTCCACCAAGTACTGACACATGTTCTGCAAGGGGATCAAATACTTATTTCCCTCAGTTAAATGCAAATAAAACGTTATCTTTTATATAATGTCAATTTCTTTCTCTCATTAGTCAAATAAACCTACCATTAAAATCATAGACTGTTAATTTCTTTGTAGGTTGGCAAACTTACAAAATCTGCAAGGGATCAAATACTTATTTCCTCCACTGTATATATTATGTTGCATTGTTGGAGGAGCTTGGCACTTAAGATTGTCCTTGCCATATCTACACTGTAGCTTCTGTGTATATAACAATAAAGCCTTGGAAATCTTTGAGAATGAAACACTGAACCACAGTATATGAGTTAGACCAACACTTGCGGCGGTGATTGTGGTGGATGTGAGCGTTGATGTGTCCTTACAGCGTGTCAGTGTGGGGGGGGGGGTGGAGGACTCCACCTGCACTGGAGTCCAGACCTCCCTCCGAGTCTGTGATCAGGGATGATTTCAAACCAAAGTCAGGGGATTTAAAAAATGTATACCTTAAATAATACATTCATATTGTAACTGATGTTGATTCACTTAGTTGTAACACTTTACCCTGCACCCTTGCTGGCTCTCTGAGGTCTGTAGTTCTCAGAGCCTCCTGCCACTCTGAAGGCGGCCGCTTCAACAGGATGTTCAGGTATCTGTTATATTCAGGCCGGATCTCATCAAACATGGGAGGCTCCCTATGAAGAAGAAACAGTACGTTTGGATCCATGTTCAGTGCAGATGAGTATGTCTGAAACAGCTCGTTTATTTATAAAACCTTTTCCAAGCACCTAATGGTTCATATCTGTTTGCATACACACCATGGGCAGAGGTGGAAAGTCACTTTACTCAAGTACTGTACAAAAGACTCATTTTGCGACACTTAGACATGTGTTGCTACTTTGTACTTCTACCCCACTACAATTCAAAGGGAAATATTGTACTTTTACTCCACTACATTTATTGAAAAGCTTTAGATGCTTTTAACAAAATGCATCTCTAAAAAGGTATCTAGTGGACTTACTCTTTAAGTCACAAAAGAGTCAAATTATTTAAATATTAAACAAAAACTAAATCTACATGTCTATGTTTGTCTACAACAGTAAAATACTCCTTGATGCAACAATATTATCTAGACATGTATAAATATCATTATATACACACATTAAGGCAATTCTTCTGCACTATAATTACTTTTAAAATGTAAGTACATTTAGCTGAGAATACTTTTGTACATTTACTTAAGTAAGACTTTGAATGCAGGACTTTTACTAGTAAAGAAGTATTTTGACAAAAATGTATTGGTACTTTTACTGAAGTAAAGCATCTGAATACTTCTTCCTCCACTGGGCATATGTTCACATACAGTTAGCGTGGGGCAGATGTACACATACTGTATTTATGTTAAATGAACAATGTTAGCATAAGCCTACCTTTTATTAGTCCTTATTTGATCGGTTAACTCCTCATTTGTAGAATACTTCTCCTGTTTAACCTTGCTGTGTCTTTCAGAACTGATAACGGAGACAAGATTACAACATTAGATCAATATATTGTATCCAGTCTTAAGTTACAATGACAGAGAATCCACTGCTGCTCACAATATTCTGGCATTCTCGGATGTCTCCTCAAACTTCTTCTGGCACTGTTCAGAGATGTAATTCACTTCTTTAAAGTCATATTCAACCAGTTTCACTTGTACCCTCTTTTTAAGACAGGCTTTCGTCAACTTCTTAGCCTTTGACCTGCCGGTCTTTAGAGACTCCTGTGGATGGAAGGATGAGGGGCAAAAGAGAGTTGCAGCTCATTAATGAGAGGGAGGGGGTCATCAGGGAAGAATGAACACGTTATGTTAAATTGATCATTTTCATTCAATTGAGATTATGTTGAACACATTTTTGGATCTCAGCATATATTTTTGATAGCGCGCCTTACAAAGGCAACCAGGCCCGACCTCAGCGACTTTGAAGTCGCTACATTTTGTCAACAGAAAATATAGCGAGCCTCTCACCCTCTCTTCCACACACGCCTCACACAGGTGAACAGGTGATTATATTTACTCTTAGTACTGCCCATACCCATGTTAGCCAATTCATCCAACCAATATTTGATCCAAAAGTAATAAGTAACAACATTATAAACAAAGACCTTATGACATTTACAACAGAAACCCCCACTCTCTGACATTCATGGCTCCTACAATGCATGTGATGTAAGCAGGAACACCAGCACAGTACAGCTTCGCTCCACTCTATGGAAACATTAGTTAAACCCCGGCAGCAATCAGAGACGTCCTCTGATCTACCCCCCCCCTCCCCCAATCTTCTCACACAGAGCATTGCTGCGAGAAGTAGAACAGCAGGTGTAGCAGGTATAATAATACAATCCCCACCACCCTGTAAAGTATACAGCGTTTTAACAATAGCAGCAATACTAAAATGGAAAAAAGTGATTTAAAAGATGTCACTGATTCTGCCAGCCTCAGATCTCGGGCAGGGAGTTCCAGAGCTGCGGAGCTCTGACGGAGAACGCTCGATCACTCTTTGTTTTTAGCCTGGTGTTGGTAACAGCCAGCAGAGCCCTACCAGAGGATCTGAGACTGCGGACAGGCTCATATGGGCACAACAAGTCAGGGAGGTAATCAGGAGCCAACCCGTTAAGAGCTTTAAAAGTAATCAGTGAAATCATAAAACAAATTCTAAAACAGACAGGTCGCCAGTGAAGAGAGACTAAAACAGGGGTGATGGGGTCTAGCCTTCTGGTATTTGTCAAAAGTCTTGCGTCTGTCATTTACCTCAGAATCTTTTCTCCTGAGTTCATTGTACTGTTCGTCATCGCTATCAGTCTCTGAGGATAGAGGAAAGAGAATTGCAATATGAAGTCAGCAATCATTTCCTGTCATAAGTAATGCCTCTGCAACATTTAACATGCTCTGATCTTATTCTCAACCACCTTGTTCATTTAGGAATGTCTTCTGGTCAGGACTGTCTTGTCTTTGTTTACAGGGAGCCGAGTTATTCTGTATTTGTTGAGGATTATCTATCTTCTGCCCCATTTGATCCATGTCTGAAAGAAGCATTAGATTATTATTATTATAGTTATTTTTTACAATAGATACTTAGCTGTAGTGAGACAAACCTGAGATTGCTGAGCCTCTGAGGCTGTGCTGCCTCTGTATTACAGTAGCTGCAGAACGGTAACAATTCAAAGCTATTGAGGCAATTCTAGGCAGACAGAAGGGAAGGCAGTGTAGGAATACTCGGTTACAAGTCAAAGTCCTGCAATCAAAATGTTACTCATACGAAAGAAGAAAAGTATAAGCATCAAAATATAGTTAAAGTAGGCTACCAAAGTAGTCATTGTGCAGATTGTCCATTTCAGAATAATATGATATGTTTTATAATGATTGATCATT